AAGAAAGGATTTGTATCGCTGAAGTTCCTCGGGAAGAATTTTTATGGGAAATTAACAAACGACCAGAAACGTAACAAACTGGTGTCAGACAGTGGGACTGAAAAAAAAAAGAAGATGGAAACGAGAAGTGGCAAATCAAACTACAGCTTAGCAGATTTGATGGCAGCAATACAAGAACAGCAAAAGAAACAAGAAGAACCAGAAAATAAACAAGAAAAGAGATTACAGCAGTTGTTGGAGGAAAAAGAAAAGAAACAAGAAGAGAGATTACAGCAGTTGTTGGAGGAAAAAGAAAAGAAACAAGAAGAACCAGAAAAGGAACAAGAAGAGAGACAACAGCAGTGGCAAGAAAACCTACAACAGTGGCAGCTCGAACAGCAAAATAAACAAAAGAGATTACAACAGCTGTTGGAGGAAAAAGAAAAAAAACAAGAAGAACGAGAACATAAACAAGAAGAGAGACTACAGCAGTGGCAACTGGAACAAGAAAGGAAACAAGAAGTACAAATGGAAAACTTTAGTAAATTTCAAAGTGAATTAAATACGTTAAAGGATGACTAACTGTCTTTTACACATAGAGGATATATTAGCCATGGACCTAATCAGCCTCAAACAACAGGAAGCCCCTTTCAGACTCTGCAGCTAAACCCTAATGCAGACATATTCAGTCATTTCAGAAGTCAAATTCCAAACATGAGTGTTAGCAATAGGGATGATCTAGTAAGAAGGAAGTCACAGAAATTCGATGGGAAGGCACCGTGGGAAGCATATAGAGCACAATTTGAGCTCCTGGCAGAAATGAATGGATGGACAGAGGAGCAGAAAGCTGTGTACCTGGCAACGAGCATGAAGGGACAACCACTGGAACGCCCTCTATTTTTAGTATATAAGCCGGCAGATAAATTGATAACGGGATAATCGAGTCAAGCCGTAAGTAAAGTGTGTAAATCATTGTGAATTATAGCGTGTATTTAAGTTAAAGTGACTGTAGAAATACTGTGTATTGCAAAGTTGTATTGAGGAAGAATAAACTAGTTTTATTTAAGAAAGGACTCGTATCGCTGAAGTTCCTCGGGAAGAATTTTTACGGGAAATAAACGAACGACCAGAGACGTAACAGATGCTTTAACTGGTAAAATAATCAACATAGGCACTTAATTCTCAGAGGGATAATTCTTTTGACCTTTGAACACAGTCTGATGGACAGCTCGATTCTCCACTGGATCCAAATGTTGGTACAACTCAGTAGCAAATGTTCTCAATGCCCTCAGTTGCACTTTGCTTAAGTGCTTGATAACATCAATGGTTGAACTTTCCAAATCAGTGTCCAATGTTGCAATTCTTGCTGCTGAGTGCAGCCATTTCAGGTAGTAACCTTGTCTAAAACACTTTGTTCTTCTTTTGGTGCAATATTCGGAAGTTTCAAACACGAATCCATGTGTCTATTTCATTATTTAAATAGTTATATGCTTTTCATACCATCTTTTGACATATGTGCGATTTAACATATTAGAAGGCAAGGCAAATGTAGAAATTTGAAAATCTTAAGTTAGAAGATATTTGACAGCAGTTGTTAAACCTAAACCTCGTTATCTTCCACTGTGAGAATCATAAAGTTTAAAGTTGGTGGTTAGTAATGCTAATAAAAATCTATTTAGAAAACTTATATTACGTTAAAAATGTAAATAATGAATTCCGAATCTTGAACGCGGTGTTTATTCTGAAAACATATTAAATACAGAGGGCGCTAATAAAATTGGGTAGAGGGGTTTGAATTGTGATTGTGATGGGTTAGAGTGTAGAGAAAACGCTATGGCTGATATTACTTTCAATGCGAAAAAGTTAATCGGAGTTGAATATCCAGGAATAGTGAAAAATGTTGAAAAGATGCTTTATTCTTTAGGAGGTGAAAAATCTTTGTCAAAGGTATCAGTGTAGTATTTTGAAATATTTTAATAATAATTATCCCCAGAGTCCAGACAGTGAAATTGATTAACTTTAAAATTAAAGTTACAAATTGTATTCCGAGTCCGACTGACTCTGACACTGTGTGACAGTGACAGTTTAAGGAGATTGGGATAATATTTTAAAAAAAAACACAGCTCTAAAAGTCTACGTTTAATGACATTAAGTGATTAACGCCGTGACAGTGTTATTTCGCTGTTGTTCAGTGATAATGATTTATGACACTGTCATTGACAGAAGTTATTCATTTTCTATGACTGCACTTGTTGTGGAAATTGAATACTTGTGTTTTTTAACTGATTGTAAATATATTTATTTAACTGACATTACTCATTTATCGATATATAGATCATGTCCCTTATAAATAATCAAATGACCATTACTTTTATTTTAGTAAGCATTATAATTTATAAGCTTATGATCGTGTATAAATTCATATACTTATCACTAAGAAAAATGGTGAAAAAATTGTTTTGACTTGTGTATCTATAAAACAGCTACATTTTGTATTTATCTCAAAATGTAAACAACTGAATAAAACTAGATCACCAATGCATAATTATTGCATTAGAAAATGTGTACTTTTATAAGCTCTACATGTCAAGTTCTGTGAGCCTAAAGTCTTTAGTAAAGAAGATAACAATTTTTCATTGGTGGAGTGATTTCACAATAGGACAGTATAAGTACTATAAATATGATTTGGAAGCCACCTTTGAATATTTTTATATAAAAATAACATTACGTGTAAATTTTAAGTCGAATAAATATTCTTTGCAAGCAACAAAAAATCTTTTTATGATATGACATTATTACTAAATATAAGTGTGTACTAATTAAAACTTCTACTTGTACAAAAATATATTTAGTAGTATACTTATATCTTTGTTTGCAGAATAGAAAATTGTTATTTAAGTTATTCCATGTAATAAAAAACTTGCATCTAATAGTGACTGATCAAATCCAGAATGTGAGAAGTTGACAGAGCAACAACACATGCTGCCTAAATAAATCCTAAGAAAAAAGGGTGAAAAAATTCAAAATGAGCTACATGTATAGTATCCTGGATTTTTCTTAATTTTTAATTTTCCTACAATGTGTTTAATATGGAACATAATGTTTTTTTGAAAATGCTAATTTCAGTTTATAATCAAACTACAAAAACACTGGACTTTTTCACTAATGTACTTTGAATTGGTGTAAGGAAATAACTGATGCATAACAGACCAGTTATTATTATTATTATAATAGGCTTTTAAAATCACAAAAAAATCATGACTATGTAGTTGCACAACCAAATAATATTAAGTCAGAATATTTAGAAATAACACAACTTTAGAAAGGTAAAATAAATAGTTAATCAATAAAATCTACTTGTTCTTAAGCTTGATCTTCTCTTGATGTATGTATGTAAGGGTGTAATCTAAACTCAAGAGCTGTGGCTGATATTGTAATAACATAATATAGTGTTCCTCACTGATCAAGGAAACATAGATGTGCATATATTTCTAACTAAATTAAAAAGATATTTATTTTCAATGTTATGAAAGTATATAAACATTTATTTTTCCCTATGGAATAGTGAAGAAGTACTATAGAAAGTGTTACGTAGATGAAAAATTTAATATTTATGTAAAAAAATCAAATTCATATATTGTAATATAAATATTGTACTTTTTCTAAAATTCCTAGTGAAACTGAAATAATATGTTTTGAATATCAAGCAGCACTAGCACACTGTGTCCACAAAACAAATATGAGTATAGTTACAGATAGCCTTACTTTTTCATGTTAGTTTTCTAATGATTGAAAGGAGCAATCCTTTCTTGTAAAGTTCCTTGATTTTCAGTACAACCACAAGTGTTTAATGTAATTAATATTTTCTATAAATTTCATTGTACTTTAGGTATACTCAGAACCTTCTCGTCGCTTAGAGTTACGTTATCGACCAAATGATATCTATTGCAAATGTGGGCATGGTGACAGATTCAATACAACAAATCTTCTAATGAAAGTTGTTCGAAAAAAGGTGAAGAGGGCAGTTGATGAAAATTCCTTGTCAGAATCTTCAGATTGTTACACATACAGAGTTGATATTATTGGTATTGTAGACACCACATACAGGTTTAAAGGTAAAACTTATTCTTAAATTTATTTCTAGAAGATAGTAATTTAGAAACACACCTATTAGAAAATTTTATTAGTATCTTTCTCAGCTAATACTTACAATTGTCACTTTTAACAGAAACATCCATAATTTTTTTTATGCTTCACAAAAACTTAAACCTATATGTATCTACTAAACAATTTTGCTTTATTGTTAATGATAACAATGGATGTGTAGAAATTTATTTTTTTCCTTTGGTAAAAATTATGATGAATAATTACCATTTAAAAGTTGAAAAGCTTTGTGAGTAAATAATAATAACTTTTGATTGGACTAAGCTATGCACCTTGAGTGGAACTTAAAATCAACTTGGCCATCAGCATAGCTAGTTAAATATATATATTTCTTACATTTCTACTTATAAAGATTAGAATTCATTATTTTAATCAGTTGAGTACTCTCACTATTAACAATATTTTTGGTCATAATCCTAGTAAGATCTTGTGAGGAGGCTTGGCCAGCATAGGAGATTTAGATTAGACCTGAATACATATATTAAGCCAACAATGAAAAACAATCTTTATAATAATAAACAAAAACTAAAAAGTAATGACATTTGATATTCCGTCTAGAATAACCAATACTATTAATGAAATTAACAATAAAAAATAATATAGCTAGACACTTAGCTGACACTTTAATGCAGTTTTTTTTTGGTCAGGGTGTAACAAGCTAATGTTATTTCTATCTATTCTTATATAAATTACCTTATGATAATTAGTGGCTTCTAAATGTTGCATCAAACATAAATTGGATTGATTCCTTTATAGTGAAATATTAAACTTAACCCCATCTAACATTTTCATGTTGGAAATTCTAAAATATTGTATTTCTATAATATAAAATGTATTCTGTGGGTTTGAGTTAAGTTTGATTGAACTGTTGGTTATGATGTGTAGTTGACATACACTTATGACTGTGGGAGTGCACACTCTGTGTTTTTTGGATGAAGTTTACGTACTTCATCCTTGTTACATGTAATTTCCTGTTTATGCTGTTTCAGTTTTAAGTATTTATCAATCCCATAATTCTTATAAAAATCTAATAAATCTGTGAACTTACTTAATTCTCAAAAGAAATTTTTGTTTTGATGCACATTATACTGCCAGTTTTTGTTTAAATTATTTTGTGCTTTGAACTTATGATTGGGTGTTCTTGGATAGTGTAATGTAGTTCAACTATGTTGATATAGAAAAAGAAACACAACATTGAAAGTTTTAGAAATTGATTACAATGCCATAAAGTAGTACTATTGTATTATAATTATGCACTAAATGTTGTATTCATTAGTAACATGTAACATGATTTGTATTATGATAAACCCAACAGTTTGGTAGCAGGGCTGTATAGCAGAAACTAACATTTGTGAAGATAAAGTATGATAGTAAGTTACAAATTAAATGAATATTAAAAAAACTACAATAAATAGTAATAAAATTAATGCTTTAATTAAAATAAAGAAACCAACTTTAAAAATCTCTTTTGCATATGGTCAGTTTACAGAGAGTGGACAGCTGGAAGTAATTTCTATATCACATACTATGACCCAGAACATATATGGATGAATAATGCTCTCTGTTGACAATGGGCTGATTCCATATTCTCAGACAAAATTTCATCTTACTACTTATTTATGATGCTTCCCCTTTATTTTTTATTTTTTTTTATGGGGAAAGTTACTCTTCTTTCAACCAATATTTCTTTGGGGACATTGTCCATTACGTGTCCACTCTATGCTGATTCACGTAATAGTTATACTGCACTGCTCTAAAGCAAAGTGCCGTACATTTTTTTCTTGTGTATATGGTGCCTGCCTCATACATTTTGCCCTATATATATATATTAGTTTCATTACTGGACAATGAGCATACCTGTTCCAGAAGTAGTGTGAAAATAAAGGGTTATAATAGACTAGCTTTGTGTGAGAGGGAGGTAAGTACTTATGGGAAATATATTTTCACTGTTATATAGCTTGCAGTAGCTGTAGTGAAAAGTTAAACTAATGGGAGGTAATTTTCAAGCAATGCCATTGATTTTCTTTAAGAGTACATGGTAAATATATATATATATTTTCATTATATATTCACCACCTTTAACATAAGTCTATTTTCTACAAATTTTAATTATAAGAGGTTTATAATATTGAGAAATCATTTGAAAACATAAATATTTCTTGGCATAAAATAAAAAAATAACTATGGGATATTTACTTTGTTTTCATATACAAAGGAATGATGGACTTTCAATATTTGCCCATGAAAATCAATCCTGGTGGCCAGTATAGATCACTTATTCCTAGCCTCGTTCCAACTGGCATTCAACTTTGTAATTGGTTACAGAAAGAAGCAGAAATTTTCATTCAACCACCACTCTTTTCTCGACTTGACATGCCTACAAATTATCACTACAGAAGAGATCCAACTCATCGGAATTCTAGTCATCACTTGTCTACAAAACATCATCCACCAAATATTATTGGAAGAAGTAAGTTTATATGTTTGTGGAAAGTTGCTTGACCTAACTTTATAAACAGTAATTTAGCATGGGTAAGAAATCCTTGAATAATTATGTAAACAATGTAGTGCTCATCTAAGGTACTTACATACATAACACATAAAAAGTATAAAGAAAATACTTTATTACCCTAAAAACCCTACACCTACATATTTTATACAACTGGTTTAAGCCTTAGGCTTAGATCAGGTGACAGTTAAGAGAAGACTAGTTGTGTAATTTAAGTGTAAGGGGTTTTAGGATAATAAGATATTTCCTTTTTATATTTTGTGTGAAATCCTTGAATAAAATATCTTTTAATTTATCTAAGTACATTAAATTAGAAACAAGTCAAAGAATAAACATTATTTAATCCTTTCTGGACCAGTGAGCATCTTCTAAGTGTGTGTGCAAATCTATGTATCAATTTTCAAAATTTAAGTAACAATTATTATTCTGACTTAATTTCAACAATTTGTTTTTTAAACATAGTTTAGAATCGATATTGTGTATAGTGTTTTTCACAGAACAATTTAAATAATTTTAAACTTACATTTCTGCACAGCTCTCAGGAGTCTTGCTTGTAAACAATACATTTTTTTAGAATTTTTTCCGATTCCAAATAATAGGTATTTATTTCTTAACTATAATTCCTTGAAAATACAGTTAACCAAGTCTTGTTTTTTTCATTGTTTTCATACTCTGTCTGGTGATTTATTATTATAGGCCTTCATTTATATCACATGGTATGAGGTTATAAAATGGTGTGAACAACTACTAATGAAGAATAGTTTTGAAAATAACTAGGCAAAGTTATTTTCCTTCCTGAAAAATGGTTTTGTTAAATATTTGTTTGAAAGTTATGGTAAAATTCTTCTAAAACAAGACATCAGGCAAGCTTTATTAGTTTAGAGAGTATAGTAGCAACTGCAAAATATCCAAGTGACTCAAATCCTTATGAATTGAATATTGTTTGTTACGTATCCAAACAACATACATAAATAAAATAACTTATAATTTATTGAAAAACTAGTTTTTTTAGTATATATCAATTGATTTCAACCAAGAACATTGGTTGCAAAAATATTGTTACCTAAACCTAACTGCAAATCATTTTGAAAGATCAAATCTGTTTCTTGTTATGATTCATATCTGGAAGTGGAGACTAATTCAGCCAGAAAAATCAAGTTTCAAAATAAATAAATAAATAAAAAGCAATAACAGTGAAATTGACTGGGTATATAGAATGGTAATATTTTCATATTTAAAAAAAAGCATCTCGCATCAAAGTTTTGTAAATATCACAACATGAAATATTAAAAAAGAATTAAATAACATTATATGATAATTTTATGCCAAAAACTAGTTAACATTTAGTAAGAATTAAAGCATTTGAAAATAATTCTTAACATAAAGATTACACAAATATGAATTAATATTAGTTAATGCTCGTAAAAACTCGTTTGTCTTTTTGTTTTTTTACTTTTGTTATTTCTTCATGTTCCTTTTTACACAACTTAACATAATATTAAATTTTAGAGACCAAATCTGTTCTTAGGTTAAAGTTTGGAAGTTTATCTTGTTTTATGAAATGTTCAAGCACTAGTAAAATTAATGCTTCATATTAGTTGGAATTTTGAAGGCAAAAAAATGCATCAAAATGAGACTTAAAGATTTCTGAAATACTAATATGCATTTGTGTTTAAGGCTTGTGTTAGTCCTGTGATAGAGCTCTTGATTTTGGAACTAATGAGCCAGGTTTAAATCCTTGCAATACCACAATATATTCCTTCCATGATAAGCTGTGGATGCATTATAAGAGTAACACTCATCCCTTAGCATAAATGGTGGCTGGTAGGATTCTGCTGACTGGGTGTCTTCCCTTTGGACAGTTGCTCAAAATTTGGGATGGCAGCAGACAGCCTTAGTAGCTTTGCCATAAATGAAAAATACAAATCTATTTGGTATAAAGCCATAGGTGCAAACCTACTTAAGTGATTAAACAATTAAGAATTTATTCAGTGATCCTATTCCCTAGCAGTTAGCATTTACCTATATAATTGACACAATTTACCCCAAATGGTTAAAACTGCATGGTCAAAACATATCCCATAATGCCTTAAATTAACATTACCTCTCTTAGCCTTGCACCCATGACTTTAACTGTTAGCAATGCTGTTTCAGACTTCCTTTTGAATTGTATCTGCTGTATAATGATGCTTGGTAATAAAAAAGTGCCCACAGAATATTAATATTATAAGTAACAGATTTAGGGTATATGCAATTTCATTGTTTAGTTAGGGAGATATTTTTGGTGGGTTAATTCCTAAACAAGACATTCTGGTACTATCCTTTTTTAAATTCTGAATAGAGATTTGAACTTCTTGCAATATCTGGAATCTGAATTGCATACCAGCATGACCAAATTCACTCTAGTTTCTAGGCTGTGAGGGACTAGAACCCATACACAAAATATAGTAGTAACTACACATGTTGTGCAATAAAAGATCTTGTTCCTTAGTTCTATAAAGACATTTTGTACATGTTTTTGAGGAGTTTTGTTTGTAGAAGTAGCTGAGGAAGGCTCAACAAAGCTTACTTATCTCTGTAAGATGGCTATTTGTGGTGCCTGCCTGAAAGTGTAGTAGATGAGTTTGTAGTTGTGATGAAATTCCTGTTGAGAAGAAACTTGTGTTAAAGTGAGGAGGTTTGTAAGGATATCCCATGACAATGCTGAAAACAAAATTGGGTGACATAAGAAAGCAACTCCACAAGCAAGATTTCTTCCAAAACACACTTTCTCTTCTCTGCCCAGCTAAGCATTAGTTTGAATCTTACCTTGTTTGCTCCAGCCTTTATATCCCACTATATTGCCTGTAGCAACATAAATGTTGTGATTCTTTCCACCTTCATCAGTGTGCCCCTATACCAGATCTATATATAAGCTCCTTGTTATTACTTCCTATTCACTTTTCTCAACAGCAAAAATTTATGATGACAGTTTTACATGATTGCTGTGGGTTTTTCTTATGTGTTGTATAACTTTAGTTATACCTATGCTTTGGGTGTTTTTTTATGAACCCATCTTCTTGGGCTTTGAGTTTACTGTCAATTTTCTTTAATTTCCCAAAAAAATAATCTGAGACATTTCTGATATGAATTAACACATTCATGTTTCTCTTAGTGCTACTAATTTGCGATCTTTGGAGTCTAGTGTTGCGCGGGTGTACGTCCAGTCTCTAACATGCAGAGAGGTGGAGTTTTACACGAGGTCTGATTTTTCTTCTTTTGTTGGCTCAGAGGCTGAACTTGTGGGGGATCAGGACCAGACTGGGGAGAATTTGAACTCTATTTTTCTGCCTCCTTCCTTTACTCAGCTAATCACAAGCCTCGGACAGACATCACACCTCCTGCACCATTTTTGCAACTAGTATATCAAGTTTGTAATGTCTTGAATATTTTCCGTGGCTTATGACTCTTCTCCTTTTTTTTCAGGGACAGCCATTCGGCTGATTACCTAGTCTTTCTACCTTTGCCAGACATTGCTGTGCATGCTCAGAGATTTGTTGATCAATTGAGTGAAGATGCTGCCATACCTTTTCCTCCTTGTTTATTGGATCAGCATGTCTTAGCTTTCTATCACTTGGAGAACCCAAATAAATATTCTTAGAGATGCCTTGCTTGAGGGCATTCAAATTTCTTCTTCAGCCCTTAAAGATCTCAGAAAAGCTCCTTTTCTCAGACATTCAGTTTTCGCACATATTTCAGATTCCATGGAATCTCAAATGGATGTGGCCCATCTTCACTCTTCTCTTTTGACACTGGCCTCCCGCCTTTCCCAGTCTTCTACTGGATGGTTTACTGCATCTCTGGATTGAGTTTCCAGACCACCTGCATCAGCTCCACATTCTATCGGATCACTAGGGATATTCCACCTGTATCAGTGGGCATCCTCCACTTATGTGGTGTGCTGACAATGGCATCAATGATTACCCTATGAGGTCCAGTCATGTGGGGGCTCATCTCAGACATTTCATGTCTCTGTGGGAAACCTTTGCCACTGATCAGTGGGTCATTCAGGTTCTTACAAGAGAGTTGTTCCTTCACTTCACATCCAGCCTCCTCGGTTTACCATGGAGTTGTTTCTTTCCCTACGATGGCACATTGGTGCTGGTCTGTGGATGATAAAGTTCGATACTACTGACGTCTACTTTCATATTCTGATTGTGGTTTCTTCACATTGGTGTCTTTGTTATTTGCATGAGAGATAGGTTTTTCAGTTTCACATCCTCTGCTTGCATGGAGCACCAACAATGGCATTAATGACTACCCTATGGGGTCCAATCCTGTGGAGGCTCAACTCAGATGGTTTGAGTCTGTATGGGAGACCTTCACCACTGATCAGTAGATCATTCAGGTACTTGTGAGAGGGTTAGTCCTTTATTTCATATCTGTGCCTCCATTGTCTACCATACTAATTGCCTTTTTGCTCGCCAAAGATTCTTGTACATCCACATGCCATTCAGGATCTTCTACTCAAAGAGGCTGTAGAGTGCACCAACTACTCTCTCAAGCATTTTTATTCCTGTTTGTTTGTAATACCGAAAAAGATGGGCAATTGGCAACCTGTCAATAACCTTTCTTGTCTCAATCATTTTCTCCAGCCTCTTTGGTTTACCATGGAGTTGTTTCTTTCCCTCTTTGCACCTGGTCTATGGATGATGAAGTTCGATGTCACTGAAGCCTACCTTTTAATTCCAATTGCAGAGTTTTCATTATGGTATCTACATTATATGCACAAGAGACAGGTTTTTCAGTGTTGCACTCTACCATTTGGCCTACACCATACTCTCTTTTGCTGGATATTCAGATTTTTTTCATATCATTTCCACTCAATGGGCATTCACATTCACCATTATATGGATTATTGGCTTCTTCTCACACTTTCCCGTCACTTGACAGAGCATCACACCTGAGTTCTTTCATCAGATGGGTCAAGAACTGGGTTTTTCATCAAAACAGAAAAGTCTGTTCTTACCCCCACTCAGTACCTTGTCCGTGGAATCACTCATTCCTTTAGATTGGACTCACTTGCATTACCATCAGTGGTCAGTATGGGATCAATAAATTATTTGCACAGATGCTCTGGGGTGTCTGATAACCCTGTTGATTTCCAGCCTGCTTGATCTTGGCTGGTGATTAAACAGGGACAACACGACAGTGGGTGTCCCTCTCTCACCCTATGTCTAGAGCAGAGATGTATCTTTTTTATGGATGCTTCTTTCCAGGGATGGGGAGCTTGTGTAGGGGATATGGAATTCAAAAGTATCTGGACATATTGAAATATTCTCTCCACATCAATCTTTCATAGTTTGTAGCAGTTCAATGAGCTATGTCTTGGGCTCTTGAATAGTTGATCTCTTTCATTTCCAAGCAAGGGAGCACTTGCTTCAGGTTTTCAGACATTTCGAGCCCACACTCATCAGAGTGTTTTCTTTGCTTGTTTTGTTCCAAGTGTTATGAATTTAGTAGCCAATCAGTTATCTTGTCCCAACAGAGTTCTTCCCACAGAATGGTTGCTTTATCCACAAGTTTTTGTTGGATCAGCTCTTGTCTTAAGACACCTAAAGTAGATGCTTTTGCCACTCACTGTGATGCCCAGCTTCCATCCTTCTGGTCTCCTGTCCCTCACCCTCTGGCTTTGAGCATAGATGCTCTCAGTCAGGATTGAACAGGTCTTCATCTTTATGCGCTCCCACTGATTCATCTGTTATCCAAGGTTCTTGTACTAATTTGCTCTTTGTCCTCTCGAGTTCTTCTAGTGGTACCATATTGGCTGGGTTAGCCATTGTTTCCACTCCTTCAATATCTTCATGCTAACCTCTTCCATTTACTCTCTGGCCATCTCTTTTATGTCAACCTCAATTGGACATTTCTCATCCATTGATCATTGTTCTCTGGCTTCATGCCTGACCTTTATACAGTCGGTCCAGTGCTTTACCTCAGGGGTTGACTTCTTGGGTGGCACCTTTATTAACACAGTCCTATCAGCATTCTTCATTGGACATTTATCAATGAAAATGGTTTACTTATCGTAAGTGGTCTTTTCTTTCAGACATGGTTTTAATCCCTTT